ATGCTGGCAATGGGTGAGTGTCCTCAAGGAAGCTGATTTAGCGTGGTCAGCTCAAGTTCCCTGAACTTGGCCTTGGGGACCTTACAAGGAAATGTTGGATGCCATTTCATAAAAATAAAGTTCCAACAACTGTCATATCCAGATAACAGTCATGTCCTCTCGTGTGGCTCAGGAGATGCTACAGAGGATGAGGTAAAAGCAAGAGATTCCAATCACCTGCCCTTCAAACATATTGTTAACGAGGATAGAGGCAGACACTAAAGTAGGTCAAGCAAGTGCTTAACGAAGTGTCCTTTGGGCTCCAGGAACTCATCCAGAATAGCACGTCACCCATGACAGTTTTCCAGACTTTCCTTGCTCTTCTTCTTTTCTTTTCTTTTTTAAAAAAATTTTTCATGTTTATTATTTTTTTAAATGTTTTATTTATTTCTGAGAGAGAGAGAGAGAGAGCATGAGCAGGGGAGGGTCACAAAGAGAGGGAGACACAGAATCTGAAAACAGGCTCCAGGCTCTGGGCAAGCTGTCAGCACAGAGCCTGACGCGGGGCTCAAACCCAAGAACTGTGAGATCACGACCTGAGCCAAAGTCAGACGCTCAACCGACTGAACCACCCAGGCACCGCCAGGCATCCCTTGCTCATGATGACCTTGACAGCTCTGAAGAGTGCTGGACAGGTATTTCACAGAATGTCCACCTTCCCCCACCCCCCACCCCCCTGGGGACAAGACTTTTGTCTGACGGTTTCCCCATGATTAAGCAGGGGTTATGGATGGGTGGGGGAGAGGGGACCACAGAGGTGAACTGTCAATTCCATGACATCATATCAAAGATGCGTGTTGTCAACTTCTCATCATGGACATTAGCTTGTATCACCAGGCCAAGGCAGTGGGTGCCAGGTTTTCTGGCTATAAATTTGCTCTTGCGCTTCCTTCCATACTCATTCTTGGAAGGAAGTCATTAAATGTAGCCACTCGTGGTGAGGAGTTAATAAGCGCCAACTTCTAGAGTAGAGGAGGCTCTATTCTACCTAAAATCATCTGGAATTCTTTCGTATGGGAGACTTGTCTCTACAGCCATTTACTTATTCCATCATTTGTTTATATCGATGTGGACTCACAGATATTTATTTTATATCCTGGGTTATAACCCAACACTGTTATTTATGTTGTTACTCATATTGTCATTGTTTTGGCCACTAGGACCAATTTCAGATCGTCTCCTTTGTCCCTTTGACATGCCCCATCGTTCTGTGGACTACCTCTTTATTTTTCCCCATATTCTTGCCAGCAAAAATGCCTTACTCAGAAAAGAGCTGTCCCCTCCTACCAAAATTCATGTTAAAGTCCTGGCCACCAACACCTCAGAATGTGACCTTTTGAGGGGAACAGAGTTTTTGGGTCTAATTGGTTAAAATGAGATCATACTAAAGTAGGGTAGGCTGTTCCACCAAAATGACTAGTGTCCTTACAAAAAAGGGAAATTTGGGGGGCACCTGGGTGGCTCACTTGGTTAAGCCTCTGACTCTTGATTTCGGCTCAGGTCATGAGCTCATGGTTTGTGAGTTCAAGCCCCACATTGGGCTCTGCACTGACACTGCAGAGCCTGCTTGGGATTCTCTCCATCTCTCTGCCCCTCCCCTGCTCATGCTCTCTCTCAAAATAACTTTTAAAAAAAGTTTAAAGTTTAAATAACTTTAAAAAGGGATGGGGGGGGCAAGGATTTGGACACAGCACACGAGAACACTACATGAAAATGAAGGCAAAGATCAATACCCAAGGGAAGCCGAAGAAGGCCAGAGACCATCAGGTGCCCAGACAGACATCTAGAACATTCTCTCTCACGGCCTCAGAAGGAATTAACCCTGCTGACATCTTTTTACTTTTTTCAGTGTTCATTTATTTATTTTTGAGAGAAAGAGAGTGAGCATGAGCCGGGGAGGGGCAGAGAGAGAGAGGCGGAGAGAGAATCCCCTGGGCTGAATGCGCAGAGCCCAACGTGGGGCTCGATCCCATGAACCGTGAGATCATGACCTGAGCCAAAACCAAGAGTTAGACACTTAACTGACTGAGCCATCCAGGTGCCCTGGCCCTGTTGACGTCTTGATCTCTGACTTCCAGCCTCCAGAACGGTGAGAAAATAAATTTCTGTCGTTTAAGTCACTTGACTCTTACTTTGTTCCTGCAGCCCCAGCAGACTGATCCAGGGGCAGACATCACTCAGCTCTGCATTTCAATCTAAAACAGTTCACAACTGTGGCATCCAAAGAAGCAGGTACAGAGGCCTAGCCTAACTGACCTCCAAAAGAATATCCTGGAAATCAGAGGCCTGAGTCTCTGAGCTACAATATTTAGCATCATATTTGGCCACGAACAACGCGTGGGGCAGTGTTTTCAGAGAGCTTGTGTCCCCGGCAGTCTTCAGCCACCTGCAGCTCGGTCCCGAGCGCCGCATGCCAGCGCACCTGCAAATGTTAGCTATAACCACCCATCCAGTCTAATCACCGACTTCAGCGTGCTAAGTACCGGCTCCGTGAGAGCCAAGCACTTCCCAGGTGCCCTCGCCACGGTTCTGTGAGGAGCTGACAAAGAATTCCCCCCATCAGAGCAGATAAAGTCAAGCTGGCATTTTTGGTCCCTGTTTAATGACGTGCTTTGTCCCCGTTCCTTCTTCCCTAAGTCACATCAACAAGTGGCCCAAAGGCTTCGGATTGAACTGGATACCACTTCATTGTAAGCTATACAAATATTGTATAGTCATTCAGTACTGAGGATGTTTAGTACAGATTCACACGCTAGAGGAGACTGGAGCAAAATCTAAGCTATGACACGAAGGGATCGCAGTCCCCAGGAAAGAGAAAGTAACTTGCTTGCAGACTTATGACACGGGCGAGGCAGTCTAGAGAGAATCTGATACACCATCTCGCTCCACCTCCAGTGACCTTTTGGAGGTGACATCTGAGTGCCCGCATGGGTAGATGCAAAAACTTTTTTTTGTTCAGTCACCTGGGTGAAAAGGAACCGGAGGTAACAGAACAGGATCTGGAGTATTCGATCGGAAATTACTTTCATTACAAACGCTGTGGTTTGTCTGCATTTTTACGCCTATATTAAAAAATCGAGTGAAGTCATTAAGCTTAGGCCAGCTCAGAAAGCTTCTGCCTGAGTATGCAGTCCCTACGGCTCTACCATAATCCTTCAAATTATTAAATAATTACCCAATTCCCTTGGGGTCACATTTGGCACAAAATACTGTCTAAATGAACTAGTGATATGACCCAGTGAGTAACACTTATGTTCTTAACTTCCTAGGAACAAAAGGAAATGAAATAGTTCCCAGATACAAACTGGGGAGGAGAGTGAAGGGTGATCTGCGGGGTCAGGAAGGTTCACGGCGGGGAGTAAAACGACAAAGGAACATGAGAATCTACGGAAAATTCCGTAAGTGTCATCTCGTCCCCCACCAACCTCAGATATCAGCAATGATCCCGGTTCCCTTCCATTTCAGGAGTAGGTACAGCCACGAGAAAAAAAAGACAAAACCAAACATATGGCTCTGTCCTTCTGGACATTTCTACAATGTTAGCTGGGTTGCTTTGGAAAATCCCATTTTATCTCCTACAGCTATATGACCTCAAGTTGTCATTTCCAATAAAGTATGCTTGCACTGATTTTTATGAACATAGACAAAAGCTGCTACAACCTTCCCCCCTCCCCAAATCTTTCAAACCAACTGTAGTTGCTATGTAGGGTTATTTGTTCCTAAGGCAACAGCGTCTATCTAAGTACTAATGGCCTGTCCCTTTGCCAGGCAACAAACAGCCTTGTGATGCAACTGCACCTGTCTCAGCTACGGGTTACTATGGAGATGCTCCAGTTGCCATGGCTACCATCACGCTAATCGCCTAGCAAAGGCAGACGTACAGCAGTCTTCTCGGAGAGCCCAGCTGTTCCTCCACGTCTCTTGCTGAAGACTGATTGTCTAGGGCCTGTGATGGAATGCTTCTCAACTGAGATGCACAAGAACTTCATTAATGCCATTTCAGAGGATCACTTTGTGCTCCTGTCTGCAGAGCAAACACCAGACTAGGGAGAGAATCTGCAAACCAAGTGGACTATAAAACTACTGAAACCTACGAATCCATGCCATCCCTCATTGACATAAACTTGTAGTCCAAGGACAATTTCTCTCAACTGGGTGGTTACAGCAGAAAGTCTTGTTTACATTAAAGAAAAGCAATTTTTTTTTTGGGGGGGGCAGGAGTGAGGGATGTATTTCCAACCCACACACTATGTGAGGTCAAATCTATGGTAAATTTTGCATCTGTTATGTGGCTATTTTTGGGGAATCTAACATTAACACCCTCCCCCCCATTTTTTTTTTTAAGGGACAAGCTTCCTATCCTCCCCTCCAATTACATCTGTGTAAAAATGGCACCCATGACCTCACTGTCTCAGAACAAATAGGAGTGTGAGGGGGAATAAAAGTCTCCATTGTTCTTTGCTGCTCTCCTTGAAGAGGCAAACACCAAGTAACCACAACAAAGTGATCACTCCGGAGCACTGTCTACATGGAGACCGGGAATGACAACATGCAACGAGTCCTTCGGTGAACACCTGTAGACGCTTTTGGGCAGATGCTGGGAAGATGGAATCGCTTAGCTGGCTCATTCCTGTACTTCCACCGTCACACACTGAGATGGTAAAGCTGTCAACTTTTCTTTCTAAATGTTTCTACCCAGGAAGACAGTATTTCATCCACCATGAAGCCTTCTGAACGCATTCCTCTGAAGCAGCAGAAGCGGTAAGGTTTACAGGAAATACAATGGGTATGCCTCCAGGAATACCTCATGCCTTTCTCATTTATCTACAGTTATTTTTCATATCATACAGTCTACTGAATTAGGTTTAGTGCCTGTCTTGGCCAAAATAATGCAACTTCAGTAGACCCAAAAAAAAAAAACAAAACCCAAAACCCAAAAAGAAAATCTCTGAATTGCTTACCTTTGATACGCCTGAGGAGAGGCAGGGGGTGTATTGAACACGTGTGAGTATGGGTGGTAAGGTGTCTTTTTCAAAGCCTGAATTAGATTTTGTCTATACTCTGGGTCTATGCACCACAATGACCCTTTCCCAATGCTCTGCAAAGAAAATGAAAACATAAAAATGATCAATAAAAGAAACATTCAGTATTCCGCAGTAAGGAGATGAATAGCAATTAGTACAGTTACTTATTTTTAAAAGCCTCTCGCCTATTTCTTCGTGTTTGCCAGCCAGAAATACGGACTATTGCACCCTGACAATATAGCACCATAAAATGCGCTTCAGTCTTCCCTGGATTAAGTCTGACAGACGAAATGAACATGTTATTACCAGGTGATGTTGATATAATAATATTGTAATTTTCATACCCTACTGGCCCCCAAACTCAGATGCATTTATTATTTCTCAGTGTCAACTCTGAAGGACGTATGTATTCTCTTCTGGAAAATGAGTTTTCGACTTGTCAGATTTCAAATGTGGAAAGAGAAAGAGGGAGGGCTGGGCACCTCAAAACTCCCATGTCCGCTGTAAAAAATTCGAGGGCTGTGTTTTGAAACCATATTACTTCGGTACCACTTCACAAAAACAGAAAAGTAATCCCCTTGTTTTTCTTTTTCCTACTTACTCACAAAAGAATGACATTTAAGCTTCCAATGGAATTCTGTAATTACCTTCCCCAAGAAACAAAAGAACTCAGGCAGCGGTGGTTAAACCTAAGCCAGAACGCAGGCTTTTATTTTCTGGATGCTGTCCTTCATAGACCTAAAGGAGCTGAATCTTTAGAAGCCAAATTTTAAAATGCAAATTTCCTAAAACGGGTTCCATGGAAAGACTTGCTCTGAGGCCCACTTTTGGTCTGTGGACAGCATTTCTGTTTAAAACAACAACAACAAAAAAGTAGGTCCTTCCTGTGCGGCCACTGAACTGGCAGCGCGCCGAAGGGCAGTGGCTACTCTGACTGTATGCTTTCAAGTGACCGAATGTACCCAAGCTGTTTGATAAGGTCGTTTGTAAATATTTACTGATTTGGAGAGAAAAGAAGTCAAATTGCATAAACCCACACCCACCCCATGCTTGCAGCCAAGGACTGACTCTCTTATTTTCCGAATTATTGTACTAGAGGAACATTTAGAAAGCAAACAATGAAAACTGTTGAACTATTATGGGGGGTGGGGGGGGACTCCACGAAAATCCCTTAGAAGGAAAACAAAAATTAAGTTATTCCTAAAATTTTAAAGAGGCTTTTACAAATTTGTATTTCAGTCATGAGTTCACCAAGTAGTTCATTCGCAGACCCCATTAAAATTCTTGACTATCACAACATCAGTGAGCAGTGGACCTGGAATTAACTCTTTCCGGTGCACTGCGAACAGAGAATTGCTCAAAGCCAAGACCAGGGGGCCGGGGCCTCTGATCACCCCAGCCTCCACGTGCCGGGCGCAGGCCTGAGCCCCAGCACGGGTCCCAGTCAGGCCGACCTGCCTAAGCTGAGCACCAACGTTCCAGTTTAACGGTCTGGATGTCTGAAGGCAGAAAGAGGTCAACTTTGAAGCATTCAATGTCCTTAAGTGGCCTTTTCTTTCATGTGTATGTTTTCAAGCCCAGAACAGTGTAGTGGCACGGATGAGGCTTCCCTGGTAAAGCAGGCAGGCCAGCAGATGAGATGCCAGGACTCACCTGTTGTTTGGAAGAGAGACGCAAGGCACACTTTCTAGTAGAGGGGTGTGTGGGAGACAACAGGTCAGACCGGTACCTACCAAATCTGGATAACGTGAAACAAACCAAAAGCCATTAAGTCTGGGGGCAGTGGAGGTCCTGGGCTGATTCCACCAAAGGCTGCTGTGCAGTGGGCCCCTAACCAGCCACCTGGAGGGGTGCAACCCAAACATCTCTGCAACGAGATTATCTCCATTCTGGGAACCTAAAGAACGGCTTTTGTTTTCATCAAGGTGGCTTTCAGGGTGGGGCTGTTTAATCTCACAGGGAATAAAACTATGACAAAGAAATGAAGGACAATTGACCCTCTTGGGCAAACAATAGTAAGCCAGGAATGTGGTTTCTCCTAATCCTGACCTAAGTATCTTTTTTATTATACTACATTACTATCTACCAACTACATGGAAAAAACCCGCAGGTGCCGGGATGGGGGACGTTGCCCGTAAGTGATCCTGGTGCAAGAAGCAGGGGTGGGTTACAGTAAGAACCAGGAATTTTGGAGACAGAGAGACATTTCTTGTGTGGTCCTTGGAAAATCAGGGTCCCCAGAAAGCCTCGGCTTCCTCCTTGGCAAATAAAGAGACCCCTCTACCAGGGATGGGTATGAGGACCAGCCATGGCATGATGTCAAACACCCATAACAGTAGCGGTGCCCACAGGTACTCAGTAATGGTGGGTGACGCCATGAACATCTTTCCGACAGAAGAAAGAGAGCAAAGCTGGCTCCCCAATGCCTGTCGCTAAATCAAATCTGATTTTCCCAAAGCCGTCCATCATGGAAGCAGCACCGAGTTCCAACAGTGGTAGTGGGAGGAGAGTCCAGCAAACTCACAGGTACTGTGGGTCCGGGCTTGGCAAACCCACTTTGAAGCGCTCCTCTGCTTTCTAAGATGCTCCCTTTATTTCCATCAGTGCCCCCATCTGCCTTCTCCGCACACTTGCTCTATGTACTCGATACCGTATCTCCTCCCGTGTTCAGAAAGCCAATTCCGACTCACAGGAGCCTAGCTGCTAGAAGTTTTCTTTCGTCTGGGTCTTCACACAGTGATTGCCAAGCCGAGGTTTCATTTCAAACTGGTCGGCACATATTTGCAATATTCATTCACTGCAGACAGTTGCCCAGGCTTTGGGTCATAATGATGTCTGCCTTGATCAGTTCTGCATTTCACCGGGAAGGAGATGTGGAACAGCTGATTGGTTTTCACAGGCCAGATGTGAATTTCAATATCTCACACTCAGAATTTCCAAAGAGAGAAAAATAACAACAAAAAAAAAGCGTCTTCAGGACACAGCCATGGGGACACTCATCTGTCTACTCCAATGACCGTACAGAGCCTGAGAGGAGCAGAAAGAGCCTGGCACTGCATCTCATATTTTCCTTGTTCTCATGTAACAGTTCAGAAGAGTAAAAAGGTTGAGTTGAAAGAAATTTTAATGGAAATATGCACACAGAGAAATACTCAAGTTTCTTAGGCCAGGAAAAATTACATTTAATGCCCCTAACAGGGGAAAGGCAGCTGAAATTTGATTATAGCTGTGTAATACATTTAGAGTCAGGGCTTTTACAGAAATTTCTGCATCTTATCTGAAGAATAGGGATTTTTTTTTTTTTTTTTTACTGTGATAACTGTGGGGGCCATGCATTAAATAAGGGTTAAGGAATTCAAAATAATAATAATAATAAAGATCTTCATTCAGAGACACATTTTTGTGTCTACACGTTCTTTAAGATGATATTTATATACCTACGTGTATATAGAGATGAAAATTGTGCCTCTGAACGAAGATCTTTCAAACACACACATATGTAGCTTGAAAAAAACTAATGTCAAAAAGTAGAGGGAAAGAAGTTGAGTAAGAAGATATGGATGAGGCCAAGGTTTGTTCTTTTTAAAATTTGTTTTTAATGTTTTATTTATTTCTGGGAGAGAGAGAGAGAGGCAGCGTGAGCTGGGGAGGGTCAGAGAGAGAGGGTGATACAGAATCTGAAACAGGCTCCAGGCTCTGAGCTGTCAGCACGGAGCCCGACGCGGGGCTCGAGCCCACAAACCGTGAGATCATGACCTGAGCCAAAGTCGGACACTTAACCGACTGAGCCACCGAGGTGCCCCAACAAGTTTTGTTCTTTAATTAAAAAGCACCTGGGGAACAATAGACATCTCCCTGATAGCAATAAAAAAAAAAAACCTTCAGTACACAAGAAGAAAAAAAGACAAGAGCCTATATCGTAGAAAGAACTGATTAGTTAGAAAGGGTATGAGAGAGAGAGAGAGAGAGAGAGAGAGAGAGAAGAACTACTAGTATATTAAGTCTTAAATCTAACTTCTAAATAACATTTTTTTCTGAGAGGTCTCTAGCAGCTCGTGAATCTCCGTCCCCCACCCCCACCCCCGCTATAGCAACTTGGCCCTGCTGAGCACTTGTCTGTCCTTCTGTCTTACATACGGGTCTTTCTTTGTGGGCTCTGCACTAGGTTGTGAATCCCTGAGGGTAAGTACCAAATTTTAAAGATTATTTTCAAACTGTGGGCTATCACATTAATGGCTCCTGAAATCAATGTAATGGGTCAAAACCAGCACTGTTTTAATGCAACAGAACCGAACCAAATATATTAGACTAGAAAACAAGTGTAGTGAGGTGGCATTTTGTGAAATGGGCATGTGTGTACACATGGTGTGTAATGAATCATAACATACACTTCTTACTTGGATTCTGGGCCAAAGAAGTAGGCAAGCACTGGTCAAGACGACAATTTCCTCCCCTTCTCACCACTTCTGAGGGATAAAGCCCATTTCCAGCAGTAATGGAAGACTCCCTCAACAGGACAGCCAAGGCAGATGAGGAGAGGAGCCGTCCTTGGGGAAGGGAGATCATAAGGCGGGACCCGTGTCCATTTGGAGCAGGGAGCTGGATACGTGTTCTTGGTACATTTGAAATGATTCTTCTTGATGTTTCTGCTATGCCATTTCTGAGGGTGTTTCCAGCACCACCTACCCTTGTTCACTACCTCCTCCATGTGGCACCCACTCCGTGCCAGGTGCCTTGGGGGACACACTAGTGACTACAACACAATACAAAAAGGTGCTGCTCTCCTGAAGCTTGGATTCCAGAGGGGGAAGAAGACAGCAAGTAAGTAAGTGAAGAAATAAGTAAGTAAGATCATACAGACTGTAATGTCTGCCGTGAAGGAAATAACGAGGACGGAGTTCGAAGGCAGGAACTTGCCGCCGTATGAAGAATAAACGGGTTGGAAGGTCTGTTATGAGCCAATGCCACAGTCTGGGTCTGAAGTGACCAGGTGGCAGCGACGGCGGCGAAGGAAGAAGGGCAGCTTCAGGACGTATTCTGGGGGACCAAGTGGATTAGAAGTGGCAGGTGAAGA